GTAATGTTGCTATGAATTATTCAGAGCATAATGATAATTATAGGAGCCCCCTGGTTCTGCTCGCTCTCTGCAGACAGGATCTGGATTCGTGCTGCAAAAAGGGCTGGGGGCAGGGAGACGGGACCTGGGGACGGAAGGCATCGCTGGCCCTATCTTCCTGAGGCCATGTTGTCGCGGTGTGCCCTAGTGAGGAAGCGGCAGAGCCAGGAAGAGAATCAGGCGTCCTGCTCCCCCAGGGCCTCCCACTGAGGAGCCACCTGTGAGTGTTGGCTGGGGATGCCACAGGCAAGCACTAACGTTTGCAGCCACCTACACAATGCAGACTTCATCTTCCTGCCAAGCGTAGACCTACCCACCTCTGCTGCCCAGAGGCAACCCCTGGCAGGCTCCTGGCCTGGACTTCCAGACCTGGGTACCGGCTCCCCCCCTCTGCCGATGGCACTGCCTGCAGAGGAGCAGCAGCAGAGCCTTGCTCACATGCCAGCCCATGAGATGATTTAAACCCTTCCTAGCACTCGGTGAACCCATCCCAGGGTGGCACTGTGCCTGCCTGGCACTCACCTTCCATGTGTCTGCAGCCCTGACATGTAGGAGGCACCCAGGGCCAGAAGTTGGCCTGCACCAAGGGTGGCAGCCGGCCGGGGGGGGGCTGCTGGCGAAACTGGGGAGCCAGGCTGGTCCTGCTGCTGGGAAGTCCTGCCCCATATCCCCCTTCACCTCACACCTCCCAGCCCTGCATTCCACATCACACAGTCCCGTACCCCAGATCTCCCAGCCCCGCACCCAGTCTTCCCAGCCTTGCACCCCACATCACACGGTACTCTCCCTCACACCTCCCAGATCCACTTTCCAATCCCCCAACCTTGTACCCACATCTCATAGCGCTGTGGTCCAGGTTCCCTAGCCCTCCTCCCCACATCCCTTAGCCCCATGCTCCATGTCCCCCAGGCCTGTACCCCACATATCACAGCCTTGCACCCTGCGCTCCCCAGCCCAGCACTTCCCTGCCCTGCTTCCCAGAACCTCTTCCTCAGGACGACCAAATTTAATTTTTTCCACTCTTCTGGGAAGTTCTAAATAAGCCTGGCCCAGTGCACACAGCAGCAGGGGCACCCCTCTAAGCCCCACACAAACCAGTTGGAGAGGGGCATAAAAACATGTCCCTGCCTCCAAGGGACAGGCAGCATGATGGGACATGGGGCTCAGCAGAGCTGCTGCCATGCTCTGGAGAGGACAGAGCTGGCCAGGGCTGCCTCTAGCCACTGGTGGACCCAAAGGTCCCTGCCAGGATCCCACTGCACATCCTCGGGGCAGGCAGAGGTTATCCCTCACCTCCCTCCATGCAAGGCCTCGTGCTCAAAACCTAACCTGCAGCCACCATCACTAACTCTGCGCAGGGCTGTTGTTGCCATAAATCCTGCAGTCTAGCAGCTGGCTCCGGGGCCTGGCAGGCAGCCTCCCCATACAGCCGCTCCTTGGCTGGCGCGCTCAGGCTCCAGGATACAGCAAAAACAAGAGCGGGTCAGCCAAGAAATGCACGTGGAGGGCGAGCAGATCCTATTGCCGGCATTCCAGAGCTGCCTGGCCGTGAACTGGGTGCTGGGAAACCTCGGCCACATGGTCCATTGCTCATGGGAGGACTCCTAAGGACACACTGCCTTAGGGATCCCCCTTAGCTGGGGATGTCACGCAGGGGTCCCTCAAGCCTGTGCCTCATCTCTGGCAGATGTCCCAGGGCCATGCACGGTGTGCGTCCACAGTGCCTCTGCCACCCGTTAGCACAGGGTCACATGTGTGCACAGGCATGTGCCAGGATGCAGCCGGGCTGGGCCTGCTGCAGAGTTGTCCCTGTGGCAGGTCCAGCAGCAGTTGGCAGCTGGGCGCAGGAGGGGAGCTGGACCACCTCTGAGCGAGCATCCACTCTGTGCTGCACACTGGGGGTGCCGCCAGGCTGTGACGAGGAGGGGCCCATCCCACAGCTCCAGAGGGGTCTGGAGACTGCACCTCCTCATTTCCTTCCTGGGGGTAGCCAGACCACACTGTGTGTCTGGGTTAACTTAGATCAGCCCTGGATCTGACGCACCCGTCTGGCATTTTCTCATTATACTGAGGGCTTCTGTTTTGCTGTGTGCATTTGCCACAGCATTGTCAGTGGTGGAAAAACTATTTTGCAGGCATGGCAGCGTGCCGTGGGAAAGCAGGGTGAGTGGGAACGCTGGCAGTTGCCAGCCTCCAGTCGCACACACGCAGCCAAGTGCAGCCATGTGCTCTCCAAAAATGGATCGCACAAACACAGGCCAAGAGGCAGAGGTGTGTTGGGGACCCCCATCCCTGCCCCAGCAAAGAGCCATCCCCAAAGGACAGCAATGCACTCTGAGACCCCTTGGTGCACAACCCAGAGCTGAGAGGAAACGGGCTCAGGAGCCAAAGGCAGAGTGGGCCAGCCCTTTGCTGTGCTGATGCGCAGAGTAGAGACGGGTGTTCACTGCAGCATAAGCCGTGAAGAGACACAACTGCAGCCAGAGGACTTTGAACATTTAAAAAGAAGTCGTTTGCACCTAAATCAAACCCCCTGTGAGATCTGAGCCACGTACAAAGAGCATGGGAGAACATGCAGCCGACTGTGCATGGGGGAGTCCTCTAGAAAACCCCTCCCCAATCCGCCCCAGCAGTTCTGACTCCATTAGCTAGCTGGCTTAGGGTCCAGTCTCCAGTCTTCCCTGCACAAGCCTCCAGCATCCCCTTGCTGCTGAAAGGACCATGATTGTGAGCTCTTTCCTGGCGGATGCTCCCTGTTATGCCCTTCCCAGGAGTCTGGGAGATTCCCAGACAGCACATCCCAATTCCCTGCTCCTGCCAGCATGTCACAGGGTGCTGGGCAGGCAAAGGGGGACAGGAGCTCACGCCCTAGGCTGATAAACTAGCAATGTATTTTGCAGTGACATCATGTAACCCAGCTGGCCCACATAGCACAAAGGGAAGGGGAAGACAGAGCTGAGCACATTGGAGCTTGTCAAAAGGGTTCGTCTCCACCAACAGTGGCCAGGGAAGATGGAGCTTCCCAGCATCCAGGGTGTACTGAGGAGCTGGTCTAACTGGGAATACCATCAAAGGGCAGGTGGTGGTGCCCAAGCCATGATTCCAAAGTACAGTTCCCACAGAAGACAAGGTACAAATTAACTGCTCGCCTGGCCGTCCAGGCTGGACTCTCCTCCCCACTGTGCTCAGCTCAGTGCACAGCCCAGCAGACAGACTGCTGGGAGCAGAGGCAGACCCTAGGGCAGCTCCTAATCAGCAGTTGGCTAAGATCAGGGCCCAGCAACCCCAACATAGCACCAAGGAGAGAGCAATGAGCCCTGTAGCTCTGGGGAAACCCACGGTGCAGTGTGTGAAAGCCCTCTCCTGCCTGCTGCCACGGGTCCTTCTGGCTGCCCCCTCTCCCAGCTCCAGCAGCCCCAGTGAGCAGGAGAGCTGGGAAGGCACGAATGGGCCAGAAGAGGGGCTGCATGACAGGAGAGCCACAGAGCGCTCAGCTGCTTAACTAGAGTCCCCAAGCACCAGCACTGGAGACACTGCGAGACAAAAATATGCACAGGACCCCTGGGAGGCAGTGTCTGAGCAGAGAGCAAAGAGGGGGGCTGCCTCCGTGAAGCCACTGCCGCCGGCAGCCCCCGCAGCTCCCAGGGCCCTGCTGCAGCACTGCAGCCTCGCAGGTCCTTGGGTGCCCTGGCAGTCCCCTCTGGCTGAGCACTGGGGTGAGGTGCCCTGGGCAAGCAGGGCTCAGGCAAGGGGCTGAGAGGAGTGAGGCATCCTGAAGTGAGGATATACTGAGGGGCTCCAGCCTGGTGAGCTCCAGGTGTGGGGTGGGCTGGGTAGAGGTACTAGGGCTATAAAATCCAGGTACGGGGTGTGTGACAAGCACGGGCTGGGTTCTGGGTATGTGGGTTCGGGGAGGTTGGAGACGCACGGTGCACAGTACTGGCTGCAGGTTCGCAAAACGCATTTGCCAGTTGGGAGTCTGGAAGCAGGTTCTCGGCACGCAGGTTTACAGCCTGGCATGGCGCAGACCTGCAGTGACGCGCGCGCTGGTAGAGGAGTGCCGGGCCACCGTGGGATCTGGGCGAGCGGGTTCCCAGTTTGGGGCCACAGAGCCAGCTGGGCCGGGTGTCTCTGGCTGACGTTCCTACCGCTCCCACGTAAGCCCTGCAGCCGTCGAGCAGCCTCCCTGCTCTGCCTTGCTGCTTTTCGGGGCAATAACTGACCAGGCCTGCCCTAGCTGTGCCCGGGCAGGCTGTGCTTTCTCCGCCAACAAGCCCGGGTGCGTGCCAAGCGTATCTCAGCTCCCCACTGCTGCTGCGCCTGTCCCAGCACTGTACGCAGAGCCTGGGCACGTCTCCAGCTACCCAGCGGTGCCAGGGAATGCACAGCCCCGTCCCCGCCGTGCCCCTGCCCCGTGCACAGCCCGTAACGCCAGGAGCTTGCCAGCGCGTGGCCCCATGTCCACCTACCCATGGGCCTGTGCCGGGCCGCCCGCGGGTGCCTTCCCAGCCCACACCTCGCTCGCCGCCCTGCCCATCGCCTGCGAGAGCCCCGCTGGCTGCAGGCGGCCTTTTAGATCGTGGGCAGGAAAGGGCCAGGAGGCTGCAGCGCTCAGGGGAGATGGGAGACAAGGAGCACAAGCTGCTGCTCACCAGCGCTGGGAGAGGAGCAGTGCCCCGTTTCTCCCTCCCACCTCCCTGCAGGGATCACCCTTTCCTCCGGGTTTGGGCGAACCCGGTCCCTCGGCTCTGCCGGGGCTGACAGGGTTAAGGGAACAAGTTCAAGAAGTGCCACGGCCATGTTTCAGCCGTATGGGGAACCTTCCCACCGACAGCCTTTCTCTGCACAGGCCCCGGAAGGATCGTGCAGACGGTGACAGCGAGCTCAGCCCTGCTGCCAGCCGTGGGCATGGTGGGCCCTGCCACCGCTGGGGGGACGTGGCGGGGGCCAAGGACAGGTACAAAGCTGGGGTGGTTGAGGGCTGCCAGCACCAGCTGGACAAACCAGACAAGCGTGGGCTCTCGCCCATGCCTGGAGCCGTACGCCAGCTCCACACGCACGCCTGGCTGGCTGGCTCCACTCGTCGTGTGGGCAGAGGTACTGCTCAGCCATGGCATCGTTGCAGGAACCTCCCAGGGCTAAAGGGATTGTTCAGATTAAAAGTCAACACCCTGCTGCTTGGCACCCACCGCCCCAGGGATATGTTGCCCACAGGCTCTGCTCTTGCTGGGGCGAAGGGGCGACCGCAGCGTAAAGGCATCAGACCAGAGCTGCCATTCTGTTTCTCAAATTTCTTTTAAAAGTATCAAATCCAACGGGAAGAGATTGAGCTTGGAAAAGAAGCTGTGGAAGTAAGCAGTCCAAGCCCTCAGTAGCCAGCGCTGGCAAGCAGAGCACTGCATGGCCAGGATCCATCCAAAGGCACCTGTCGGGCAGAGCACCAAGGCAGTCCTACGGGATCCGCGGGAGCCAGCGGTGTGGGCTGGGCATCCGCACACTAGGCCTGGCCACAGTGCTCCCCATGCAACAAGCCCAGCTCCCCGCACAGGACCTCCCTTCATCGCAGTCAGCCAAACCCACACGTTTTGCCCAGGCCCAGGTTAATGCAGAAGAGTCAGACTCGGCTGTGATTTACACATGTTTGCAGCCAGGCGTCCCACAAGAAATCTAACCAATGGGACCTGCAGTTAATACCTGCAACATAATAGAGCTGATTATAATAATTGGCATAATAATTACGTTACACCTAGGGATGGGTGTAAGCAGAGAGCACTGCCAAACAGACTCTTTGTCTTTGCTTTCTTGTTTTCTCTCTGGCTTGCAGGTAATAGCCAGGAATGGGCAACCCTTCTTTTAATGGACCCTTAATAATGCTGTAATTTCCCTTTGCAGGGAAAGTTTTCCAAACAGTCAAAGATTCAAAACAAAGCAATGATTGTTCCTATTAGCATTAAATTCTACTCTGGGAGAGAGAATAAATCAAGCAAGGGGATTCAATTCAAAACAGAACTATAAAAAATCCAATAATGATTTTTTAATATTAATAAGAAAAATATATTGTTATGCACCCTTAGCATTTAAACTTCTAATCCAATCAGCGCAAAGTGCAGAGATAAATCACAGCAGCCGAGGAGAAGGGAACAACCATCAAGCAGTCAGCAATAAAATGCTGTCTTACATCCCTGGGACAGACATAGGTTTGACAGTTTCAAAAAATCTCGTGGAATTTATGAGCCTGTTGCGCCACAACAAGCTTGTTAATTCCTTCCTTGCATCTCTACATATGCCCTCCACCTTGGGCCCAGAGGGAGCAAGGAGCCAGGCTGCTGGACAGTCAGACGACAAGCAGTAGGCTTCCTAGCTGCCGAAGCCCTTCAGCATGGCAGTTTGGAGCAGGGGATGCGCTGCGTCCTCTCCCCAGCTCCCAAGAGCAGGTGGTGCCCAGGGATGGAGCCTCAGAGGGGGAACACACTTCCTGCATTATAGCCCTACTCGATGGGGCAGGCAAGGAGGGGAGAGATTCTCCCTTCTTGATCCCCGGGATCGCAGTGGGTGCTCGCGATCTCACGCTCAGCCCCCGCGCACGGCGCTCTCCCGGGCAGCCCCATCCAAGGAACGCTGAGCAGCATGTGTCCTCCACAACCACCTGAGCCATGCCAGCTCCCGCAGACATCAATGAATGCTCTGACAAGGCCTCTGGGACCCACACAGCGTGGGCCGCACTCCACTCCTCTTTCTGTGTTCAGAGGGGGATGTGAAAACCAGGATTATGGAAAACCCTCCCCATCGTGCAGGTCTGCACAGAGCATAAAAGCATTTAAACATGTAATCCCCCCACCAACCCCCGCCAGAGCCTGAGCCGCCCTGCTGATCTAGAACAATCCCAGTACTTTGCTGGGGTCACCGTTGAGAAATAATCCCAGGCTCCCAAGACCACTCCTCCCGCGGTTTGCACCGTGCCATCCTAGTTGAACTCATTACAGATAATGGCCCACAATTCACCACTGACGCATCCTAGCTATTCCTTCTGATTTATCGGCTCCAGCAGACTATGCACAGCCACGTGGGCCAGCGAAGAGGCAGGGTGAGCAGTAAAACTTCATAAAAACTGCAACGGCTCCCTGCATCCCTGCTCCACAAGGTCTCACCTCCGTTCACGCCTGCACTGTCCCTCTCAGGCCCTTGTAGACCACAACCCTTCGTGCTCCTGTCAAAACTCCAAAAGCAGCTATACCAGTTACACAAATGCTACTAGGCAGGAAGAGAGAGCAGAGGGAAATGTGAAACGACTGCTACGACCACAAGCGGATACAGGGACTGGGGAAGAGCAAACAACCAGCATCTTTCTAGGTAGCAGTGATGATACCTGCATCATCACAGCCATGCGACAGCCAAGGACAAAAGACATCTCAGCCACAGAGGGAGTTCCTAGACAGCTTGCAAACTGCTGACGACACAAACTGGGGCTAGGAGAGAGCGAGGGCATTTGGGGACAGATGGACAGACACTCTGCTACTGCTCAGGAGCACCACGAGGCTTCACTCCTTCCACTTCCTAGTGTCCGCAGTCCTCACAGGGGAGGCTAACAAGGGGCAAAGGATTAGTTAAAGCTATTACAGGTCTAAATCTGATGTGCAATAAGGCGTTTCTGCTCTGCTTTCACTTCAGATGGTTTTGTCAGATGCTCTTGGCGCAAGTGCCAGGCTTGGCAGAGCTTCGTCCTCCCGCTCAGAGGCTTGGCACTGCCTGGGTCCCACTCAGCCACCAGCGCTGCCTTTCACAGTCTCTCTGCCCATCAGAGGGGAGCAAAGGTGTTACCCCCGGCACAGCAGGCACCCATCGCCTTCCAGCAATCTGCAATATATTTTAATGCAAAAAGAGTGGAAATATCCCATGACGGGGCTCTGAATTGCCAGGGCGTGCGGCGGCTCCCAGGGACGCGAGCGCGCTAGCACTAGCACCGTGGCGGATGGCAGCACGCTCAGAGGAGCTGCATGCGGCTCTTGGGCTCTCCCGTTCGCTACCGCCATGGCTGAGGTGTTTTCACAGCTGCGACGCGCAGTCCTTGGCGTGAA